TCGTAAGAATTTGCTTGATTTTGCTCTGAAGAATGTTGCTTTTTTAAACACATTTTTTAGTTGAAGATTTTTCTTGATTTCTTGATCAAGTAAAATGATTTTGCATAAAAAATTCTACTTGATTTTATAATTAAGAGTTTTGACCAATTTGGTTTCCATGAGATTACGATGAAGCAAATCGTCTTAAATTCTGAACACAGCAGAATCCTCCAGAAATCATGACGATGTTCAACATCACTGTAATAAATGCTGTCATTTGCTATGTACCAAAAAAATAATAAAACTTCTTTAATAATCCATGAAACTCTGAGAGTGAGCTGATTTCAAAAGTGTTTCTCCTGGTTGGGAAATGTTGTGTTTGCTTTGTTTCTGAGTGATAACTAAACCTCGAGGCTTTAGTTATAACAGGTTAGTATTAAAATAATCTCTGTGTCAAACAAACGTTTGTGATTCTTACACGTTTAGTTCAGCAGGATAATCTTCACATATTAACACCACTTTATGATTTCTGAAGTAGAAAGCTAATGTTGGGCTATAAAGGAACTACAGCACGGTCACATGACTTCATGTCTTTAAAGTAGAGACACTACATACTGATATACACCTGAACATCAGCAGGAGAGGACTCTTTAAAGTAGAGACACTACATACTGATATACACCTGAACATCAGCAGGAGAGGACTCTTTAAAGTAGAGACACTACATACTGATATACACCTGAACATCAGCAGGAGAGGACTCTTTGAAGTAGAGACACTACATACTGATATACACCTGAACATCAGCAGGAGAGGACTCTTTAAAGTAGAGACACTACATTCTGATATACACCTGAACATCAGCAGGAGAGGACTCTTTAAAGTAGAGACACTACATACTGATATACACCTGAACATCAGCAGGAGAGGACTCTTTAAAGTAGAGACACTACATACTGATATACACCTGAACATCAGCAGGAGAGGACTCTTTAAAGTAGAGACACTACATACTGATATACACCTGAACATCAGCAGGAGAGGACTCTTTAAAGTAGAGACACTACATACTGATATACACCTGAACATCAGCAGGAGAGGACTCTTTAAAGTAGAGACACTACATACTGATATACACCTGAACATCAGCAGGAGAGAACTCTTTAAAGTAGAGACACTCCATACTGATATACACCTGAACATCAGCAGGAGAGGACTCTTTAAAGTAGAGACACTACATACTGATATACACCTGAACATCAGCAGGAGAGGACTCTTTAAAGTAGAGACACTACATACTGATATACACCTGAACATCAGCAGGAGAGGACTCTTTAAAGTAGAGACACTACATACTGATATACACCTGAACATCAGCATGAGAGGACTCTTTAAAGTAGAGACACTCAGTGGCAACTGGTCATTAGGGGCAGGTGGGGCACAGCCCCACCTAGTGTCAGCAGAAAGTATTACAAATAATGATTACAAAAATGCAAAAAAAAAAATAAAAAAAAATATAAAATATATTTTAAGATCATGTTTAATCATCTGATTCGTCTGTACATTGCTGTTTTAGTCTGTGTTCTTCTAATTAGTGTGTCTACAGTCACAGTGTGTGCCTATTGAGCTGTTTAGAGCCATGTGGGACAAAACCTGATCAAGCCCCTTCCTCTCGCTGTGAAGTGAACGGTGACTGTAAAAACTACACTGCGCATGCTCAGAGTATTTTTCTATGTAATGTGTGTGGCAAAAAAATAATGACCAGAGGGGCACAGAGCTACCATCCCCACCATACGTCATCTCAAATCATTCAGAGCTGATTGGCTGTAAGTACGTGTGCCGCGAAAAGTGTGGTGCTTGAAGAGGAGACGAGAGAGCTGCAGTGGCGCGTCCTAAAACCAGGAAGTAAGCACAAAAAAGCAATGAGATTTCTCCAGAGGATTTTAGAAAATAGCTCGAAATAAGATCTGTGGGAAACGTACCTGTTAGATAAATGCACGTTTTGATTAGCCGGATAACATCCACATGTCGACCCTACTTTTATCATTTTTTTATCATAAATCTATCGATTAGATTTATGATAGACTTTTGAAACTACAAGAAGATAAGGAGGACTTTTACAAAAAAGTAATAGAAATGTTTGTCCAGAAGGATAGGCAAATGGACTTCATCTTCAAGTCAAGGTAAGACCGCCATTTTATTGAAAATGGGATCTTACTAAGAGAGAACAATTCAATATTTAAATGATAAAATTACATTTTTTGGGTATCCTTTTGTTGAACTGTCTGTTTAAAATTAATCGAAGCATCAGACAAAAAAAGCTTTTGAAAATAATATTATATTTTGGTTTAGGTCAAAATATAATATTTGTAAACCTGAAGAGTCAGTGCCAGTGCCTCACCAGCCATGAACCTCACTGCACGTCACTGCAGAAGCTTATATATAGACATCTAAGTTTTTTGTGCCCCACCACTTTTGTACATATAAAAACGCCACTGGAGACACTACATACTGATATACACCTGAACATCAGCAGGAGAGGACTCTTTAAAGTAGAGACACTACATACTGATATACACCTGAACATCAGCAGGAGAGGACTCTTTAAAGTAGAGACACTACATACTGATATACACCTGAACATCAGCAGGAGAGGACTCTTTAAAGTAGAGACACTACATACTGATATACACCTGAACATCAGCAGGAGAGGACTCTTTAAAGTAGAGACACTACATACTGATATACACCTGAACATCAACAGGAGAGGACTCTTTAAAGTAGAGACACTACATACTGATATACACCTGAACATCAGCAGGAGAGGACTCTTTAAAGTAGAGACACTACATACTAATATACACCTGAACATCAGCAGGAGAGGACTCTTTAAAGTAGAGACACTACATACTGATATACACCTGAACATCAGCAGGAGAGGACTCTTTAAAGTAGAGACACTACATACTGATATACACCTGAACATCAGCAGGAGAGGACTCTTTAAAGTAGAGACACAACATACTGATATACACCTGAACATCAGCAGGAGAGGACTCTTTAAAGTAGAGACACTACATACTGATATACACCTGAACATCAGCAGGAGAGGACTCTTTAAAGTAGAGACACTACATACTGATATACACCTGAACATCAGCAGGAGAGGACTCTTTAAAGTAGAGACACTACATACTGATATACACCTGAACATCAGCAGGAGAGGACTCTTTAAAGTAGAGACACTACATACTGATATACACCTGAACATCAGCAGGAGAGGACTCTTTAAAGTAGAGATACACCTGAACATCAGCAGGATAAGGCGGCTTCAAGTCCTTTCTACATTTGTAGTAACTACAAACAATTCTCAAACTAATAACTTGCTAAATGAAGCTGCATTATTAAAATGTAAAGAAATAGAGAAACAAAGTTCTCTTGCAGAACTGAGAAAGCTAGGTTCAGAATCCTGTCTGCTGGCGCCCCCTGCTGCTCTGGATGAGAAACTATTAAATAATATCAAGAGCGTCACAGAAATAAAACCCAGGAACCTGAGGCTGGGTTTTATATCTTATCACGATAAACTAAAGCTACTCATTATTATGATTATTTTGAATTGATCGTTTTGCCTTTTTAATTAAAAAGCAATTCAGTTTTACAAACACAAATAACACCAAATACTAACATTTTATAAACAGGAATATATTATTAAGTATCATTCTTTTATTTTACAACAATTAAATCAATCGTCTAATTGTTTCTGATCGTCTTTGAACGTACAAATATTCTGTATTCAAATGTGTCAAGAAAATCTCTGTTAAAAAGTGAAAGGTAAATAAATGTATGGATGAACTGCAGAGGTGTGAAGTAACTAAGTACATTTACTCAAGTACTGTACTTAAATGCAATTTTAAGGTACATGCTTGAGTATTTCCATTTTATGCTACTGTGTACTTTTACTCCACTACAGTTCAGAGGTACATGGTGTACTTTTCCTCCACTACATGTATTTAATACCTTTAGTTACTTCACAGATGTGGATGAATGATGTGAAATATAATCAAGTGTTAAATCAGACTTTAGTTCCACCTGGAGTAAATTCACAAGCTACCCTGCAGTATACAAAGTCATTCAAACTAGCTGCACCTTTACCAGCTTTGAGAACACTTTCATGATCAATCATTATAAAACATATCATATATATTATTCTGAAATGGACCAATCTGCACAATCACTACTTGTACTTCTACTTTTACTCAAGAACAAGATGTGAGTACTTCTACTTTTACTCAAGTACAAGATGCGAGTACTTCTACTTTTACTCAAGTACAAGATCTGAGTACTTCTACTTTTACTCAAGTACAGGATCTGAGTACTTCTCTCAACTCTGCATATATTAGAGTAAAAGTACTAATACCACATTGTGTAAACAAAAATTAATGTTAATATCTGGTATTGAGAATATTTGAAATATAGCCATGTAAATGGTCTTTGAAAGCTTATTGTTGTTATTATTATTATTATTATTATTATTATTATTAATAAATATCCACTAACTGTCATGTACCAGTTCACTGACAGCTGCAGCTGCATCAAGAAACACGTGATAATACCGGAAACAGGTGACCCGGCTTCAAAATAAAAGCACTACTGCTGCACAGATAATCAATGACTGATATTTTATATTAAAGTACAACTCATTAAGAAGCAGTAGCTGCACTGGGGAGAGGTTTTCGACATTTTCAGAATAAATGTCTTGTTATTGGACTCAAGAAAAAGATGTGAGTACTTCTACTTTTACTAAGTAGGCCTACCAGATCTGAGTACTTCTACTTTTACTCTAGTACAAGATCTGAGTACTTCTACTTTTACTAAGTACCAGATGTGAGTACTTCTACGTTTACTAAGTACCATTCTGAGTACTTCTCCCAGAGGTCTTCTGTAATCCAGCATCGTCACCTTTTATTTTGAAACTCGTGACCGGAAGTGGCCGTGTTGCTGCTGTTAGCTTGAAGCTTCCCTTCCGAGCAGAAGCAAACATGGACGTCACATGTGAGAGAATGACCTAAACATGATCCTGCTTTCTGAGGGGAAAACCAGCCGAGACAACAAGGTAGGATCCTCTCTGTCACACCGGGACCGCCTTTATCCTCCTCTCTCCCGGCGCCGGTCCCCGGTAAAGTCCGTTAGAAACCGGCTGTTAGCTGAGGGAGCTAAATAGCGTTTAACGGGAACCTCGGTGCCGGCGCCCATTATCGGACACGCCTCCCAGCGACAGCGCTTCTTCTATTTCTCCCCGAAAAAAACCACATAACGAAACTGAGTGAGATTCACACTCATTTGAATGTGTTTAATGCTTGATGTGTATATATACACATGTGTGGGAATGTATTATATTTGAAAAACCTTGCAAAGTGTGTGTTAAGACCAATTTTCAGGCATTTCTAGCGACAAAATGCACGAAATACATAACGCGTTTAATATTAATAAACCCAGGCTACGTCCGATAATGGAACCAGACTCTTTCCTGACGCCGGGGTTTAAATAGCGTTGCGTTACAGCCGCAGGCGACCATCGTCCGTCACAGTATGAGCCCACACACACAGCTCACATACACACACACAGCTCACATACACACACAGATGTGAGATTCTGGAGGATTTGAAGTCAAAAATGTTTACGAAATGTCGAAACATCAAATCGTGCAGTCCTGTCCGATAATGGAAGCAGCCAAACCGGGTTTAAAAGCTCCAGCTGTGTGTGTGTGTGTGTGTGTGTGTGTGTGTGTGTGTGTGTGTGTGTGTGTGTGTGTGTGTGTGTGTGTGTGTGTGTGTGTGTGTGTGTGTGTGTGTGTGTGTGTGTGTGTGTGTGTGTGTGTGTGTGTGTGTGTGTGTGTGTGTGTGTGTGTGTGTGTGTGTGTGTGTGTGTGTGTGTGTGTGTTAAACATCAACAGCAGTAACATGCTTTGTAAGTAGGCTAAATATTGTACACAAAATCTGATTTGTTAAATATATGATAGTACTTACATTTGTTTACCTGAGTATGGATTTGAATGCGATACTTTTACTCTAGGGGTATTTTCACAGTGTTTTTAGTACTTTAAATGCAGTAGAGGCTCTGGGTACTTCTCTGTCGGTGTTGGGCCAATAACTATCCGCTGCAGGCCTCTTTTTAAAGAGGCCCTATTCTTGTTTAGGTGGTGTTCCCTTCCCTGTAGTTAGTTATAGCTGTTAGTGCATGTAAATGGTCTGCAAAGGCTGAAATCCCTGGTTTTCCTGCAGTGATGCATCGTCATGAGATCTCTGAGCATATTGAAGTTTGACTGGAATTACATTTATTAATCTAAAGAAATTGCCTTATTTGGGATTTTTAGAGGACTCTTTAAAGTAGAGACACTACATACTGATATACACCTGAACATCAGCAGGAGAGGACTCTTTAAAGTAGAGACACTACATACTGATATACACCTGAACATCGGCAGGAGAGGACTCTTTAAAGTAGAGACACTACATACTGATATACACCTGAACATCGGCAGGAGAGGACTCTTTAAAGTAGAGACACTACATACTGATACACACCTGAACATCAGCAGGAGAAGACTCTTTAAAGTAGAGACACTACATACTGATATACACCTGAACATCAGCAGGAGAGGACTCTTTAAAGCAGAGACACTACATACTGATATACACCTGAACATCAGCAGGAGAGGACTCTTTAAAGTAGAGACACTACTTACTGATATACACCTGAACATCAGCAGGAGAGGACTCTTTAAAGTAGAGACACTACATACTGATATACACCTGAACATCAGCAGGAGAGGACTCTTTAAAGTAGAGACACTACATACTGATATACACCTGAACATCAGCAGGAGAGGACTCTTTAAAGTAGAGACACTACATACTGATATACACCTGAACATCAGCAGGAGAGGACTCTTTAAAGTAGAGGCACTACATACTGATATACACCTGAACATCAGCAGGAGAGGACTCTTTAAAGTAGAGACACTCCATACTGATATACACCTGAACATCAGCAGGAGAGGACTCTTTAAAGTAGAGACACTACATACTGATATACACCTGAACATCAGCAGGAGAGGACTCTTTAAAGTAGAGACACTACATACTGATATACACCTGAACATCAGCAGGAGAGGACTCTTTAAAGTAGAGACACTACATACTGATATACACCTGAACATCAGCAGGAGAGGACTCTTTAAAGTAGAGACACTACATACTGATATACACCTGAACATCAGCAGAAGAGGGACTCTTTAAAGTAGAGACACTACATGCTGATATACACCTGAACATCAGCAGGAGAGGACTCTTTAAAGTAGAGACACTACATACTGATATACACCTGAACATCAGCAGAAGAGGACTCTTTAAAGTAGAGACACTACATGCTGATATACACCTGAACATCAGCAGGAGAGGACTCTTTAAAGTAGAGACACTACATACTGATATACACCTGAACATCAGCAGGAGAGGACTCTTTAAAGTAGAGACACTACATACTGATATACACCTGAACATCAGCAGGAGAGGACTCTTCCGCTGCGGTCACATACCTGTGTGACAGCAGGATGCTGGAGAGGACTGTCGGGACGTGTCGCCTCTTGTAGAGAATTTGTCGTTGCACAGGAGAACCTTTTTAAAGTTCAACATAAGGTAATGATCTGCGTACACAAGATCATTTATTACATGCATTCTTCTTCTTCAGAATAGAAGTCGGGAGAACCCTCTTCTTCTCTCTGTACCATATCCAGGCATTTGTTTATTTTGTCAATATTGTATTTGTTCTCCATCGATACTTCCTGATCTCCAGCCTCTGCAGAACACTACTGTGTATATGACATATACTGTAGTACAATGTGCTCCTTCTGTACTGAGTTTATATCAATATTGATTTTATTTGTATATATTTATTAGGCATTTTGTAACTTCTAATGTTTATATAAATATATTACATTTTAATATATATATATTTTTTGCACATTCTTACTTTAACTTCTTATTTTGATATAAATATTTTATTTTATTTTATATTTTATAGGACATTTCTACTTTAACCTCTTGTATACATTTATTTTTTATTTATCTTTTATTAATTGTTTTCTTAAAATGGAGTAACTGTCATGAAACCCAATTCTCCCCTGGGGTAAATGTAATATTTTGATTCTGAAAACCTCTGCAGCTCTGTAATGGACTACCAATTATATAAACAATGCACAATAATTGCACAAATGCCACCGACAGTAACGGTTGCCATGTGTTGCAATGCCACACATATTTGTCGTTAGTTAATAAACTCCTCTTTGAGATTGAACCCCATCAAGTTGAAATGTAATCGTAAGATCTCGCCGTTCCTCCTGCACGCCTCGGCGAAACCAAAGAAGTAAACACTTTCCAAACCTGATTCTCCAGATCCTGTACACACCTCTTTCCACAAGTACTACTTTACTTCAGTAAAAGTACTACATCCTCACTGTTAAAATACTCGTCTTTGACCCAAACATCTGACCATCCGGGTGACGGTACCGTAGGGTTGACTATTGGTGCTTTCTCACTTATTTACATAATGAGAATGTGATCAATAATCATCAGTCGATATTTAGACTCTAGGGTCAAGACTAATCATAGACATCTGTTGAAATCAGAAAAGGACATGATGTACTTTGATGAGGATTTATAACTCGGCAAAACAACACTGTGTTACAATATCAGTGTTAAATAACGTATTTGATACTTCATTGGTTTTGTATTTGGTTAATTGTTTGGTTTATTAAGTGGTTGGTTGGTTGGTTGGTTGGTTGTTTGTTTGTTTTACCTGGTTGTTTACCTGGTTGGTTGGTTGGTTGGTTGTTTACTTGGTTGGTTGGTTGTTTGGTTGGTTGGTTGGTTGTTTGGTTGGTTGGTTGTTTGGTTGGTTGGTTGGTTGGTTGGTTGTTTACCTGGTTGGTTGGTTGGTTGGTTGGTTGTTTACCTGGTTGGTTGTTTACCTGGTTGGTTGGTTGGTTGGTTGGTTGTTTACCTGGTTGGTTGGTTGGTTGGTTGTTGGTTGGTTGTTTACCTGGTTGGTTGGTTGGTTGTTTACCTGGTTGGTTGGTTGGTTGGTTGTTTACCTGGTTGGTTGGTTGGTTGGTTGGTTGTTTTATTGATTGGTTGGTTGTTAAGTTGGTTGGTTGGTTGTTTGTTTTATTGTTTGTTTGGTTGTTTGTTTGTTTACCTAGTTGGTCGGTTGGTTGTTTGTAGTTGTTTTTGTGGTTGATTGGTTGTTAATTGGTGGTTGGTTTTGAATTGGGTGGTTGGTATTTGTAATTGTTGGTCTGTTGATAGATTGATCTCATGTCACAATAGTGCTGAGTCTTGAGTTAGCCTGCATGCTTTAACACCCCCAGTTTGAAAACGGCTGATTACAAATACATAATATAAAATATAATTATATAATGAATATAAGAAGCACTGCTAAACTGAAGGATGCACCTCCAGGACCAGATGGACCTGTGCAGGGGTTCAGGAGGGGGGGGGGGGCTCACAGCATGTCCCAGCATGCACTGGGAACAAACATATTTCCATGCTCCCCTGCATGTGTCTGTGGGAGGAAACTCAAACTGTAAGATCAACAGAGACCCGCTCCTCTGCATTCCTGCTGCGCTGCTGCCTTCACTGACTCTGTTTTCAGTGGGATTGCGTAACATCCTCCACAATGAGGGGGCTCTCTGAGGACCTGAACACACCCCTCAAACATTTCTTCTGTTACATGTCATCATATGTCCTGAAGGGTGTGCACACAGTGTTCTCAGTTGTGATCTCTTTGCTACACGTCAGATGTGGAAAGTAATGGATGAATCAGTTTCTCATGTCTGTTATTCTGCCTCTCTGGATCCTCTCTGACTTCCTGTCTGTGGCTCTCTGCTCCGAGCCCATTGGTTCTCACTGAGGATGGCAAATATTTACAAATGTATAGTTTAATGTTTAAAAATTAGTCAGTTAATCAGTGATGGGTTAGCTGTCCAGCTCGGTTGTGATTGGTCAACCTCTTAGAGATGTCCCGCCGCTTAGCCTATCAGGTACAATGTGCTAG